TGTCAATTTCCTGGTATAGGGGAAGAGGAGGCCATTTTTACAGTGCATTCTGTCCCACTTAAAAAAATGTTCTCTGTAAGTCAAATTATTCCAAAATAGCAAGTTTAAAAAAACTCAAATGTTAAAATGCTAAATTCTCTTTTACTCTCAGAAACACAAGACAATATTTACTCACGTATTTAAATGATTTATTTATATTCAGAAGCATTCAAAATGTTTATTTGGTATATAAAACTCTATTTGAAAATATTCTTGTTTATGATTAACTCATAACTATTCTTACTGTTATTGATTTCAGCAACCTTTTTAAAAGCATAGTCCTCTGAGTTCATACATGTCTGATATACATTAAATAGGATTTGTTCTTTGTAAAATCTCACTCTGCTCCATGAGAAATACCCTTCCACCCCAAATCAAAGATCTGGATCTTCTTTCTGCCCTGATCTAGTGTGACAAGGAAGGGAGGGAACATGAAAACACACCTTCGTGGAAGGAAATTCTTTTCCCTTTTATTTTATTAACCAATTCTACAAAAAGTTAACGAGTACATGCTAATCTTCAGCACTGCGTGATGTACAAAGGAAGCATCAAACTGAAACCTATGCTAGGAAACCTTCCATCTCTTGGGGGAAACAGGACATACACACAAGCAATAATTACATAAAGAAGCATAAAATTAAATGTCAACGTTAGTTGCATAGAAATTGAAGATTTTTCTGAGAAATGAGACACTGAGTGTAGCTTTGGTTGGAGTACAGAAGCTGAAAGCAAGAAATGTTAGTATCATAGGGAACTGTGTCGGGCCTGACTTCACCCTTCACTGGCTATGTGGCCTTCAAGAAGTACTTTAGCATCTCAAAATTGCAGTTCATTCATCTGCACAGTGGGGACAATAATAGAATGTGCCCTCATGGGCCTGGTCTGAGGGCAGAATGAAATTATTCACGTGAAGGGCTTAGCAGAGTGTCCTGCACATGGCTCACACTCAAGGTTATTGAAAAGAAAGTTGGAGAAACAGGGAAAGGAGCTCCTGGCAGACACGTAATGAAGACTAAGACCATGCTTCGAAAGCACTGTTGTTCATAAGTGGCTTGAAGAACTCTTCACAAACCCTGCCAGCGGATGGACCATAATCCATCACTAAATAAAGACAAAGGAATCCTCAGTGATTTTTTGCTGTGGCTTCATAAGTTATCAGCAGAGCTGGATGTGCACTTATGGTTTTCTCTTGGCATGCATGCATTCGTTCATTCATTCACCACACAGTCAGGGAGCACCTCCTAAGTCCATGCTCTTTTCTCGCTTGATGCCTTAGCTAACTGAATCATACCACCTGCGTCAGTGGCATGAAGAAAACTGAAGACTCTTACTCATGTTGTACAGCTCTCTGTTCAGATCGTTTACCTGGAGCTGGCTGGCTGTGGAGAGCCTGGGAGGGTGGTTTGGGTGCCAGGGATGTAGTGTGATTCACCCCGTTTTCTGCTGGAGTCGTCCTGGCTTCACTTGGAGCCTCTGATGGTGTTTCCCCAGGATCAACCTAAAATCATAAATATCCTTTCATGTTCCACATTTCTTATTGTTCTTTTCTTGTCTTCCTAAACCAACAAGGCTACGTTTTATAGCATTTTCACAACTCATTTGTTGTTTGAAATCTCAAATTTGAAACTGTCTGGAAAGTAGGGTAAAAACACCACAGTGTTGAACCACAATTGTGGTAGGTTGTTGTACTGAAGGCTCAAATTTTTACACCAACCTATGTCTATGCCCTTTGGTAGTGCCCTCCCACACTGACTCGGGACCTGACCCTGTGATTTGCTTTGATCAAATGAGAGAGTAGCAAACTTGATGTGAATTTTGCACTTGGCGAAATTCTCAACTTGATGCACTTGTGAATTTTTCCACTCTTTCTAGACCCCTGCTCTAGCAATGGAGGATGAGAGACTTTGTGGAGGAGAGTTGAGTCATCTTGGCCAAGGACATCCTAGACCAGCCAGTTCCAGCTGAGCACATACACATGAATGATCCTAGCTAAGATGAGCTGAGCCTGGTCTAAAACTGCCCAGCTGAGCAGATAACTCATGAAAAATAGTAAGTAGCTGATGTTATATGCCATCAGATTTGAGAGTTGTTTTATAGCAAGAACTAATTGATGTGTGGATAGGAGCACAGGTATTGGAGCCAGACCTGCCTGGGTTCGAATTGTGACCCTGCCACTTAACTAGCAGTATGATGTTGGGTAGGTCACTTAACCTCTGTGCCTCAGTTTCCTCATCTTTATAGATGGGGACATGCATGTGTTGGGGACCATAGTATTATCTATCTTGCTAGATTGTTTAGAGGATCAAATAAGTTAATATTTATAAAATGCTTAGAACTGTTCCTGGCAGAGAGTAAATAACTGGGTGTTAAATAATGTGCAAGTTGTCAGAATAGGGAGTCACTTGTGTTTTTAACAAAAGAAAGACTGGACAAATAGAGCAAGGGAACGCCATAAAGAGAGGATCTCATGTATAAATGCCCAATAACAAAAACTGTCACAAAAGACTGAGCAAAAACCACAATCTTGCACAACAGCTACTGCATCCTGACCCAGAAAAATACCACTGTGAGGATATTTGCCCACAACTGCCTGTCCAACCTCACACTGGTGTCACCTTTGTTAGTGATTCTGATAGTCAAGGATAATTCTCTCAAAAATATCATGCAATCCTCCCCATTTTTCGTTTATAAACCTTTGCTTTCCTTTACCTCCCTGAATATGCACATAGTTTACTAGGGTACATGTCTTCCCGTTGCAATACCCTATTCCTGAATGAATATTATTTTCTTTTAGAGAGCATCTCTCTGTTATTTAGATTGACATAAAATAAATCAAATCCAACAAAACAGTTAAGCTTGTGCAATACTACCAATGAATAATAATAATAAATGCATTGAAATTTATGAAATCTCCAGTTCACATCTCCAGCAGTTAGTCCACTGTACCCTATATGGAGTGAACATTTAATAAAAGTTTGTCAAATAAATGCTTACCCTTATAAAATAATTGCTTCAGTGGTTGTTTTACAATGCTCTAAATGTTCTGTATGTCTTTATAGGAATTGTCTTCCAAGTCCGTGCTAGGTTTTACTAATAGTGAGGTTATCCCAATGTTCTATTTTGTAGCACATTTAAAAAATGCATTAGGCAATATATTTTCCAGAAATCATCTGGAGCCCAACACTGTGACATTTTGGCATGTAATTACAGACTGCAGATTGTCCTATGATAGCATTTTTATAAAAAGTAAAATGAGAGTGAAAATAGTAACACTGATTGTTACAAGTGGTTTTTATTCTGTCCCCCAAATCATCTTTAAAACATCCTCCAAAACTGCTTTAAGTGATGGCAGAACTTATTTTAATTCAAAAGAATAATCCCTGCTTATTTTCCATGGCCTGTCCAGTGCCAGATGAGCCCTGGAACCAATGGCTGGACATCAGGTGCAGGAGACGGGAGCATGAAAAAGTAAGCCAGGCAGCCTATGCAGCTCACTATGTAGAACTCTGTCTTTTGAAAAATGGCTACTTCCAATGAGTAAGTTCTGGTATGGTTGTGCTGTTTAGTTACATCTGTCAGGAAAATTCTCCCTGGAATCACATGCAAAGGGGAAGGATTGTGTATTTTTTGTTCAAGACATTGCAAACTGAAGGCTCATGGTGCAAACGGAGTACATGAATGCATTTTCTTTGGCTCACCCAGTGTTGCCGAATTTTTAAAATAAGACTATTTTACATTTAAAAAATGGATTTCTTGCTTCTTTTAAGAAGCTAGATCTGGCAAGGTGTGGTGTACAGGCCCCATCTTGCCAAATCTAGCTTTTTAAAAGAAGCAAGAAATCCATTTTTTTTTTTTTTTGAAACAGAGTCTCACTTTGTTGCCTGGGCTAGAGTGAGTGCCGTGGCGTCAGCCTAGCTCACAGCAACCTCAAACTCCTGGGCTCCAGCCATCCTTCTGCCTCAGCCTCCCGAGTAGCTGGGACTACAGGCATGCGCCACCACGCCCGGCTAATTTTTTCTATATATATATATTTTTAGTTGTCCAGATCATTTCTTTCTATCTTTTAGTAGAGACGGGGTCTCGCTCTTGCTCAGGCTGGTCTCGAACTCCTGACCTTGAGCGATCCACCCGCCTCGGCCTCCCATAAGAAATCCATTTTTTAAATGTAAAATCGCCTTAATTTAAAAATTATAAAATAAAATAAGCATGGAATCCTTTTGCATGGTACTGGAAATTAGGATAGAAACAAAAGAACTAGAAATGTCAGTTTTCTTAATTGAGAGACTCTTGGTATCCAATCAAACAAATTTCCAATAAAGTTTCAGAAGACAGTAATACTTCAGTTGCACTAACTAGATGCTGCTTAGCTGGTAGAGAAAAAAAAAAAAAGTACGGAATGAACCAATGAACCACAGAAGTAAATCTCTGCCCTCTTGTGGCCAAATTAAATCATTAAAATGTTTTTCCTTCAAAACACGCCAATATTGACTTTTAAAAATTAGGATTCCATAAAAAGAATTTATACCCTCCCTGGTTCCAAACGAACAGAAGTACCTAGAAAGTATAATACATATTTATCAGTAAGAGGGTAATTGAAAAGTCCATTTTTAAAAGTTTTAAAGAAGGAGGAAAAGCCACATGTTATGCTAGTTGAAAAGATTTCCATCCTGGGCATTGAAAATTTGGATCTGACAATCAAAAAGGAGAGAATTAGGATTTGTAGAACTTACTTGAGTGGTTAACATGCTAAATCAAGGATCTTTCAAATATCAGGTGTGTGACTGTGCTATTAGAGGTTTTGGATCATGCCCTCCTTGCCTGAGTCATCTAAAGAGCGCAGTCCCTTCCGTGCAGCTGGTTAGGATGGCAGCACCTTGATTTGGACACAAGATGGCTAAGGCGCAAGGTCACCAGTTTTTCCAGAACATTACAGGAAAGACTCATAAATTCGTCATGCAGAAATCCAGTCCACTCAGGACAAATATGGGCAATGGGTGTGGCTTTGTTAGAGATAGCCTATTAATAACAAGAAAGAGCTTCCTCAAACATGTGTACAATTTGTACCTGAATGAAATTAGATAATGTACCTGCCTCCTATTTCTAAGAAATTCAGAATCATTCCTAAAAACTGTGTTCTAAAGTATGCATTCTCAAGTGTTTAGGAGAGAAATATACTGATATTTGCAACCTACTTTAAAATGCATCAAAAAATGCATTAATACGTGGATAGAGGGATTTATATACAATCAAGTGAATACATCAAAATTTTAATTGTGGAATTCAGGTGATATATTGGTGTTCATTGTACAATTCTAACATTTATGTATGTTTGAACATTTTTTAATTAAAATATGGCAAAACTCCTATATTTTGAAGAGTCTACCAGGGTGAGTTAGAAGCAAAAGACAGCTGGACTTCAGGTTTTTCAGCTTCTTAATTAACACTTACCAAGTAAAGTGATTTTGGTGTTTTTTGCAATTAATGTCCAGCACGTTCTTCCAGCAGTAACTGGAACATGGATCCAACTGATTTTTGACACAGCAAGACTGTGTCATCATATATGTTTATGTGGTATCTCTTTGTTGAAATATTAGTGACAGCTACAAGTTTACATGTAGATGTATGAATTTTTATTACTGTCAGTCTCTTCCTCCCGGTTGTAGGGTCTATGTGAGCATCTGACTTTTCTCATCATTATTTATATAATGCCCAGCACAGTGACTGACACATAGTTGTGTTAAAAAAATTTATTGAATGAATGAATTAATCCATATTTAGTTTCCTGCTTATGCACAATCAATAGGTATTACTGGCAAAGTCCTGAAACTAAACAACTACCTACATGTTATACTAAAATAAGAAAATATTTTTAATGAATCGATACATCAATGAATAAAAAGAATGAAGATGCTGTTTTTTCTGTTGTCTATAGTTAGAAAATCTGTATTTAACTCATAATTGCAGCAGGTTATTTAGAAAGCTATTAAAGGGTGAAAGAACATAGCTCTGCACAGTATTTTATATATGTGTTATATATATGTTAAAGTTCCTAACATCTGTATTAGAAATGTTTTGATATAGTTTCCAAAGCAATCAGGAAGAATAAATTCTTTGCAGTTAGATAGAAATCATAAATTCCCAGAGAATGTAGACCAACCGCCCTTTACATTTACCCTGTGGGAATTATCTTTGAAATTAATTAAGCCAAATCATTTGGCAAAGACTATGGCCAATCACTCACTTGAAAAAATTCTGGACAAATCCCAGAAAAGAGTGTCTCTTGGAGCCTTTCCCAGATGTCTGTGATTGAGCTGACATTTCAGAGTGGATGGAATTAATGGATTTCATCTGAGGAGAACCATGCACTTGCACGAGACCGATGTAGAGCTCAAAAGCCGTGATTCTCAACGTGTAGTCCCTGGACCAGCATCAGCCTCACTGCAAATTATTGGAGATGTGAATTCTTGGGTCCACCTCAGACCTACTGAATCAGAAACT